ATAAAATGAATGAAAAAAAGTCAGAGAAAGAAGAAAGGATAAATAATCGAATGAAGAATAAAAGATGAAAAATTGACAAATTGAAAACGAAAGAAGATGAAAACAGTGAAGGAAAAATAAAAGAACGATAAAAGAAGTAGGGAAAAATGAAAAAGAATTGGAAGAAAGAAGAGAGAAGGAAAAGGAAAGGAAGAAAGAAGGAAAGGAAGAAAGAAGAGAGAATGAAAGAAAAAAAGAAGAGAGAAGGAAAAGAAAAGAAGAAAGAAGGAAAAGAAGAAAAGGGAAAGAAGGAAAAGAAGAAAGAATGAAAAACTAAAAGTAGAAAGGAGAGAGAAGGATAAGTAAAAGAAGAGTGAATGAAAAAGAGAAAGAAGAAAGGGGAGCGAATGAAAAAGAGAAAGAAGAAAGGGGAGAGAAGGAAAAAGAGAAAGAAGAAAGGGGAGAGAAGGAAAAGGAAAAGAAAGAAGAAAGAAAGAAAGAAAGAAAAGAAGAAAGAAGAGAGAATGAATAAGAAAAAGTAGAAACAAAAGAGAAGGAAAAGGAAAAGAAAGAAAGAAGTGATATGAAGAAGGAAAAGAAAAAAGGACAGAGAATGAAAAAGAAAAAGAAAAGAGAATGAAAAAGAAAAAGAAGAGAGAATGAAAAAGAAAAAGAAGAGAGAAGGAAAAGGAAAAGAAAAAGAAGAGAGAATGAAAAAGAAAAAGAAGAAAGAAGAGAGAAGGAAAAGGAAAAGAAGAGAGAATGAAAAAGAAGAAAGAAGAGAGAAGGAAAAGGAAAAGACAAAAACAAGAGAGAAGCAAAAGGAAAAAGAGGAAAGAAGAGAGAAGGAAAAGGAAAAGAAATTAAAGTTGAAGGTTAAAAAAAACGACAAAAAATGAAAAAGGAAAGAAACGTAGGAGAAAGTGGAAGTATAAGTAGAAGATAAAAGAAAAAAAGAACAAAGAAAAAGAACAAAGAAAAAGAAGAAAGAAAGAAAAAAGAAAGAAAGAAAGAAAAAGAAGATGACAACACTTTCATATGTTTAACGTCTTCTCTAGTCAAACAGAAATCCTTGTATGTTTTGAATCTTAATTTGTACCCTCTTACTTCCTGAAATGATGACCTTCATTCATTTTTCTGATTTTCATTGCAATATTTTTTGTTAAAGTTATGAAGCTCTAATAAAGAAAAATAACATGAAAGAAAATCTAAGGAGAGGAAGAAATAAAGAATGAATGAAAAAATAATGTCAAGTAAACGGAGAGGAAAGAAAGTAGAATGAAAAAAGAAAGAAAAAAGATAAATGAAGATGAGCAATAAAAAGGAATGAAAAATGAAGAAATTAATTAAGAAGAGAAAATAGAAAGAAAGAAAGTAATACTGAAAGTAGAAAGAAAAAAAGTAAAGAAGAAAAAAAAAAGAAAAATGAAGTAAAAAGAAAAAAAAGGGACAAAAGGGTAAAATAAAAAGGCGAGAAAGGAAAAGGCGAGAAATGAAAAGGCGAGAAATGAAAAGGGGAAAAGTAAAAAGGAGAGAAATGCAAAGGTGAAAAGTAAAAAGGGGAGAAATGAAAAGGCGAAAAGTAAAAAGGAGAGAAATGAAAAGGCGAAAAGTAAAAAGGGGAGAAATGAAAAGGGGAGAAATGAAAAGGGGAGAAATGAAAAGGCGAAAAGTAAAAAGGCGAAAAGTAAAAAGGGGAGAAATGAAAAGGCGAAAAGTAAAAAGGGGAGAAATGAAAAGGGGAGAAATGAAAAGGGGAGAAATGAAAAGGGAAAAGTAAAAAGAAATGAAAAGGGGAGAAATGAAAAGGCGAAAAGTAAAAAGGGGAGAAATGAAAAGGGGAGAAATGAAAAGGCGAAAAGTAAAAAGGCGAAAAGTAAAAAGGAGAGAAATGAAAAGGCGAAAAGTAAAAAGGGGAGAAATGAAAAGGGGAGAAATGAAAAGGCGAAAAGTAAAAGGCGAAAAGTAAAAAGGAAATGAAAGGCGAAAAGTAAAAAGGAGAAATGAAAGGAGAAATGAAAGGGGAGAAATGAAAAGGCGAAAAGTAAAAAGGCAAAAAGTAAAAAGGAGAGAAATGAAAAGGCGAAAAGTAAAAAGAGGAGTAATGAAAAGGCGAAAAGTAAAAAGGGGAGAAATGAAAGGGAAAAAATAAAAAGGAAGTAAAGGAGAAAAGAAAAGGGAAATGAAAAGTAAAACGGGGAAAATGGGAAAATGAAAAGGGGAAAAGTAAAAAGCAAAAGTAAAAGGAAAAAAAAGAAAGAAATGAAAAAGTAAAACGGGGAGAAATGAAAAGGAAAAGAAAAGGCAAAAAAAGTAAAAAGGGAGAGAAAATGAAAAGGAAAAGTAAAAGAGGAAATGAAAAAAAAGAAAAAAGGGAGAAATGAAAAGGAAGAAAAGAAAAAGAGATTGATGAATGATGAAAAAAGTAAAGAAACGAAAACGAGGAATAAAAATACGAAGAATGAAGAAATCGGATGAAATGAAGGAAGAAATGAAAGAATGAAGGACAAATGACGTACTTCGAATGAGAGGATTGTGAAAAAAGAGGTAAAGAAAGGACACTTAAAAGGAAATAGGAATGAAAGTCGGACACAAATAATGACAAAGAAGACGAAAAGAAAAGAAAAAAAGGAATAACAACAACACGGGAAGAAAAAAAAAGGAAACAGTTGCATTAAATAAAAAAGATAGGAAGAAAGAAAGTAAAAGTTCAGATTGGTAGAAAATGAGAGAAGGGCAAAAGAAAAGAAGAAAAAGAAGACGAAAAGTGAGTGCTGAAAAAAAAAGAGAAAGAGAGTTAGGTAGGAAAGAAAAAAAAAGAAAGAAAGAAACGATGTCATTGGAATAAACTTAATGGAATGAGAAAGAAGGAAAGAAAGAAGAAACTGAAAGACAAATTATACAGAAAGATAAGTGACGAAAGAAAAATTGAAAAAAGAAAAAGCAAAATAAAAAACGGTAGAAAATAGTAAAAGAAAAAGACATGGGTGTAGAAAGGGAGAAAGCAAAGAAGGAATGAAAAAGAAAAAGAAAGGAATTAGAAAAGGAAGGCTAAAGAAAAGAAAGAGAAGCTGAAAGTGAGAAAAAAAAAAAGAAGAAGAAGGAGGAATGGTAAAGAAGGAAGAAAAGGAAAAATGAACAAAGTTTTGAAAAAGAGAATAAGAGAGAGAGAGAGAGAGAGAACGAGAAAGAAGAAAAATGAAAGAAGAGAGAGAAGAGGAGGAGAGAAAAAGAAAAAGAGAGAAAGAAAAAGAAAAAAGAAAAGGATAGAGACAGATAAATTATAAAGCAAAAGCAGACAAAACAGTAATCTATATATATATATTCATATGTGTGTGTGTGTGTTTGTGTGTATATGTGTGTGTAACTTATATATATATTATTTATATATTATATATGCATATATATATATATATATATATATATATATATATATATATATATATATGTGTGTGTGTGTGTGTGTGTGTGCATATACATATATGTGTGTGTGAGTGTATGTGTGTGTGTGTGCAGTAGGGTAGGATAAGGTAATAGCCTGGGCGAAGTAGGTCTTTTTTTGTGACTTTTGAACCGGGAGTCTACCTTTTTTTTTTCTTTTTTTTTATACGGGTCTCCAGGGCGTGTTTTGTACGCTTTTAATGTAATATGCGTGATTGTATGTCTTGGGTGCCATTCAGTTTCTACTTAATGCTGAATAAACACAACGCAACAACAGGCACATACATAGAGTCAAAAAAAAAAAAAAAAGAAAGAAAAAAATGAAGGAAAAAGGAAGAAAAGAAATTTGTGAAGATAAAGGAAGTCACCCCCCAAAAAAAAACCACAAGGCATAGTAGGAGGCGTTGAAGAAATATATGAAAAAATTATAAAACAAATTATTCGCATTATTGCAACTATTATATATTGTTTTGTACTTATTCAAATTTCACAACGCGTCATATCTGTGAACTCTCCTTGGAGATCAAGTGGCAGCAGGATCTATTCAGTACTGACGATCTTTTCAATATTACTGCTAAGTTTCTGGATATGGGGGGTGATGCAACGGATATCGACGCTGAACATGGAATCGGCAAGCAGTCTAGTCTGTTAAACTTAATTCTAGTATAAATGCATTTTGAAATGACCAGTAGTTCACCGTTGACCCACAGTAGATTTGGCTTTCAAACCTTGACTTGCAACCAGTCTAAGAGAATGAGAATTCTGAATTCCAAACTGTAATCTACTCCGCTATCTTTCCATATTTTAATATCGGTCCTCCCCTATGGCAGTCACGAGCGGACAATCCCCACAGGTTAAAGAGGTTACAGACACAAGTGGTACACGAGTAAAGGAACAGCAATACGCGCGTAGATGAAGAAGAGAGGTTTATTGTAAAAGAGAATACACTACTGAAAGACAGGGAATCGGGTGGCAGGCTATTAATTCCCGAAGCAAGGTTATTTACCTTACCCCACTTCTTGAGGCAGGATATGGCATAAGGCCGTTTTTAATGCGGGACAAAACCGAGCCCGTAGACTCGGGCAAAAATTCCCCGTAGACCCCGTATAAACGGGGTCTGGTAACTGTCTACCACCCCAGACAAGACTCTGCCCTTCGGCATAGCTTCATCTAGGTCCCTCTTTGCTCGAAGGCAGAGAGTTTGACCAGCAGAGCTTGAGACGAATCTCCAACTAATTTCTGAAGCAAGCCCCCAGATATATCCTGTACTCACAATACATAGCTACTGATATAGTCAATCCACATAGGCGATAGGGAGTGTGGGACATTTCATTACAACAAAGAAACTTGAAGCAACAGAAATGTGGTTTTACAGAAGAATGCGGAGAATCCCATGGACCGAACATGTGAGCAACGATTCTAGAGACAATGGCAACAAAAATGAAACATATGATTAACACCAGGAAAAGACAGCTGAAACTTCTGGGGGACATATTGAGGAAAAAGGACTTGGGAAATTTGATACTCACAGGATATATTGAAGGTAAGAGAAACAGAGGAAAGCAACGCTCATAATACCTGGCGAGCTGGAGCGAATAGATAGTGAAGCAGGGCTTGGAAGAGATGGCAAAAGCAAAAGTTATTAAGAGCTAGAAACAAGAGGAAATTGTAGAGAGCCATGATCGCCAACCTCCTGAAGGGACACGGCACACAAAAAAGATCTCTCCCTAAATATGGAAATTCACAGAAAATAAACAAAAGGAATCTGTGGAGAGTTATGATCATCTACATCCTGAAGAAACACTGTATTTAAAATACTGTCTGGATAGATTTGTTGCATAGCCCCCCAAGTGGGGTTGATCTCACCATGTCTTCTCCCGATCGGCGATCGCTAATTGTTTTGGTTCAGCAATGAAAGATTTCAAACAGAATTTTAACCTAACTATATTTTACTCATGTCGACATGTACATTATCTAACTATCCGGTGTAGGTGGACCACCATCTCACTGGGGAGCCGTTTCGGACACGAAAGAGAACACGTCTACATAGATTGACGAGTAGGAACCAACACGTTGAAACTTTTCTCCTATCTATCTTTCACACGCTAGCTCAGCCAATCAAAATCGACTTTTCTATTATGGCTCACATCTGACCCCGAATGTCAACCTCTGGAAGCCGGAGCCAAGCTACGCTTCCCCTAAAAATCATAATTAATACAATTACCATCATATTCTACAATTTTCAGTTCTCCGTCAAGATCTTCCGTATATATGCGAGTATAGGGCGAGTTTTTATGATTATATTGTTTACGCAAAAAATAGTGCTTCGCAATATACACAGGTATTTTTGATTGCAAAAATCATGTATTTTAACCGGTTGCAATGCACATAGGTAAATTTTTTTCTGGAGGGATTAAAATTCCTGCCTTTTTGGTGAAAGTAACCTATCTGGCATTCCTACATTCTCACGGTACCTTTGGCTAACCATAACGCTACAGTTAAGCCCTTTTAGCCTCTTCCCCGTAGGGTAGATCCCTTTTTTTTTTGCTTGCTACATCAACAACAGAACGTCATTCACTATGTGTGCCGCTTAAAACCTAAAAAATACCTTATAGAAATGTTTTTGCCTTTCTCCAATTTGTGTTCTTCGTTCGCAGGTGTTTACATAGCGACAAAACGGAAGAAACTTAGCCTACGTAGGAGGCAAGCCCAGGATAAATTAGCTACCGTAGTGAGGCATGAACGAAAACAAAAGTACACTCTCAGGGTACCTTTGGCTAATCTTAACTTTTTATTTAGAATGACTTGATTTATCATATATGTACCTCAATTCGTGGGACATCCTGCAATATGTAACAGTAATCCTGACAAAAAGGTTGTCATTGGAAAGGCAATACCTCAGCGATGGAAACACCTGCGAAAAGAAGAGGAATGCAAATTTGAGATAGGAAAATAGCTATTAATTCTTCATTTATATAAAAAGGTATTTGTTTCAGTTTTTTTCACAAAAGAAATCAAGGTTCGAAGAGGATAAAAATCCTGCATTTTCGGTGAACGTTTGCATTATACACTGGTAATTTTTTTTCTGGAGGGGTTAACATTTATGCATTTTCGTTGAGCATAACCTACCTGTTAGGCTTTCACTCTCAAGGTACCTTTGGCTAACCTTACCTTGAATTATCATATATGTACCTCAATTCGTGGGACATCCTGCATTATGTAACAGTAATCCTGACAAAAAGGTTGTCATTGGAAAGGCAATACTTCAGCGATGGAAACACTTGCAAAACGAAAATGAATGCAAATTTGAGATAGAAACAAATCTATTAATTCTTCATTTACATAAAAGGTATTTGTTGATTTTAAAAGGCATATTTGGTGGATGAGGTTTTGCTTTTCATGTAGTTACAAAAGGGAAGAAACTTAGTCTATGTAGGAGTCAGGACCGTGGTAAAGGAGCTACCGTAGTGAGGCATGAACGAAAACAAAAGTACGGTATCTAAATCTTTGCATCGCATATTTTACGATAAGTTGTTTTTTTAACCATTTTCGAGTAGCTTTGTGCAAAAAAAGAATGAAGACCATTTATTTGCTACAAAATCTGTCCAGGACGTTGCCCAGTACTGCAATATTTCACTACGGTAGGCCCACTGGTATTTGTAGTAAGCTGGGGTCACATTATACACGAGCTATATGAACAAAATTCATGTTTTTAGCCCAAGCATTTAGGAGTCGCCCTGTGAATTTTCGACGGAAGAATAAAAAAGAAGCGTATGTGCAAAGACAAATATAGTAAAGAAGTGTTTCAGTTCGAAACTACTGCCATCTGAAGAAGATCAGAGGGCATAATAATCGAAACGTTGTAATTGTAATAATAACAATGAAAATGATTACGATAAACCAAGTGCAAATATTGTAAATACCGTATTTTGCTGACTACTTGATTCATTAGATACCAACCAAAAATACTTTGAAGGAAAAAAAAAAACAGTTTTTCTTGTACTTTACAAGGTCTCCCTTATATTCCCAGTTTTAGCCAACAAATAGCATATTTCAGCATGGAAATCTGGTATTCATCATAGACAGAAAAAAATACAAAATCTATAGTGATTTATGAAGCGTAGGTTAGTTGCGGAACAACGCCGAAAATACGGGGTATCAGTGAGGATCGAACTCACTACTCAGTCGTGATCTATGCGAAACAAACTTGCTAACGATTACACCACGTCGAAGTAGTCATTTATCCCGGTTTCCCCAGTGAGACGAGATGTAACACGAGGTCAGATTTAACGTCTGGGAACCCGAACGCGTACACACGGGCCAAGGACAAAAATTGCTCAGCTCTCGTTGCGCTGTTTTCATTGGTGAGCACCGATCCCCGTCTCAAGTACAATGAGAA